CTGAATTATTCCCATGGCTTTGAGACGTTTTGAAATGGCTTGTTGAGTCACTCCCAATGATCGTGCCAATTCTTCTTGATTTTGACACGAGTCTTGATCAAGTAATGCCTCCAATTCTGCATCTTCGAAAACCTTCTCTGTTCCACCGCTATCCCGGTCTTTGACGTCAAAATCACCGTTCTTGAAGCGTTGAAACCACTCACGACACGTTCTTTCACTAATAGCGGTCTCACCATAAGTATTTGAGAGCATTCGATGAGCCTCAGCCGCAGATTTCTTCATATTGAAGCAGAAAATTAAAATCTCCCGCAAATGACGAGAATTTGGCTCGTAAACTGACATTTTCAATCGAGAATAACTTTATGATGCAGACACATATCGACTAATGTTTCTATGGAGTTATGTTGACAGATGCCCAAGTTTATTGTATGGCGTCTATGATCTATTTATTTCGACCACCACTTACCGCTAAAGCCATCTATAGGAAAACGGCGGAAGCAAAGTTGTACACCTAATATTATAGTATTTTGGAAAGCTCTTGAGATAAGTTACAAGAATATGTAATAAAAAATGGGAAGTTCCATTTAAGAAATTAAAGATGACCTCTACGTTATCTTCACAACACTATTCAAGATCATATTTATACTATTGTTTAATGCGTCACTTAAAACTGTTCAATTTTTGTTAGAAACATTTTTTTCTACAATGCGTTTTTTTTTTCGAAAAAATGCAGGGGTCCAGGACTTTTCGTACACCTTGTATACACACACACACATACACATATACATATATACAGGGTGTCCTGCGTAAAACAGACCAAAAGAGAAATATAAGTAGAACACATAAAAGTGAACAAAAATTGTATAGGTCATTTTTCAAACAACCACGTAAAATTTCGAGATATTAATTAAAATAGTCGGACAAATTAGAACGCGTGACGCGACAGGCGGGACATACGACTCGCAGCGGGCGGCGAAGAACGATTGCTCGTGGGCCTATCTTATAGGCCAGAGGGGTGGGCCGTTTGGCATACGGAAATGGGTAGCTCCGTGTGTGCATCCGTGTGCGTGTGCGCTCGTCCATTTTCTTCGTCGACCGCTGCGAGCCGTATGTCCCGCCTGTCGCGTCGCGCGTTCTAATTTGTCCAACTATTTTAATTAATAACTTGAAATTTTAGGTGGTTATTTGAAAAATGACCTATACAATTTTTGTTCACTTTTATGTGTTCTACTTATATTTTTCTTTTGGTCCGTCTTATGCGGGACACTCTGTGCACACACACACACACACACACACACACACACACCACACACACATATATACAGTGTGTCCCATAAGTTCGGCAACGGCAAGAAAACTAGGCGGGGCAGCATTTTAGAGAAAAATGTTTCGAATAAAAGTTGTAAGGCTTAAACAGTCGCATTTAATGACAGTAGTTATTTGACCTAAGATGACGTCGCCAAGACAAGGTCAACTTTGCTTTTTTAGATATAAATACATATTTTTTATTACGGCATTTTATTCTATGTGAAAAAGCAAACAACTTTTGTTTGAAAAAATTTTTTATACGACCTCTATTTTCTAAGATATTTACGTAAATATCT